CCCCCTTCTTTAATATTTAACCCAAATGACACTTACAGAAAGCAACCTGAGGCTGTGTCAGCACGGGGCTACCGTTATAGAAGAAGACATCGCAGCTTACCCGACAACAAAGATTAGGAGGTGAACTCTGTGGCATTGAACTAGATTGTTGTATTAAATGGATCATACCACTCTCTTACAATTATTTAGACTTTTTAAGCAGTGAGCAGGCAACTGGATGGTGGCAGAATCCCTGAGGTGCCCATGGGCAGCCTCGCTTGTGGGGGTAGAGGAACTAGGAAGCCCAACTGGAGGATTCGGATCCTTTGTGTGTGATCCCCCCAGCCAGATGCCAGGCTCCTGAGCTCCTGCTGCGCCCTTCATGTCTGTGTCCTCAGCACCTACCATGGGCAATGCTCTTACAGCACCCTCCAAACCAGCAGAGGAATAAATGGAGAGGTGATATGAGCGCTGCTTTGTGCCCCCGCCCCAGAACAGTACCAGGAACACAGGAGAAAGTGAATTCAGGATGGTCAAGATGATTACATTTCAGCCATCCCTGTCCCACCCCTCTCAAGGGTCTCCTCTCTGCTTCCTAAGGTGAGAGGCAACCAACCAATCAGGGAGGGGAAGGAGGCCTAGGTGTCAGGAGCTGAGAAAATGTCACCATGATCCCTTTGAGGCAACAAACTACAATGCTTTAATAGGTCCATTATGGGGAGGCAAGCTTTGCTGGGTCAGGCATAGTTTGGGCACTTTTCAAATCATAGGGTGACCGCCCCCTGGCTTGAGCACAGGTCTGGCTCGCCTGCAGGACCCCCAGCCCTTGGGCAAGGAGACCGTGTGAAGGAGGCCTGTGGGGGCTTCTCTGCTCCAATAACAATGCCACAGTAACTACTAACATCCAACTGGCCCTCCTGGGCATAAGACACTGTCACACACATTCTTTTGACTGTCATTGCATCCTGGAGGGAGAGGGACAGCGTGGATTGCCCCCAAGGTCCTGCAAGAAGAACCAAGACCAGGTTTGCGCTCTGGTTTTCTGAATCGCATTCTCAGCCCCCTTCCCCACACCACTGAGCTCCCCGGTAACAGTGTGGAGTTCAGAGCAGGAGGAAGCCTCCGTGATCATTGATTGTGAGCTCATTATTGCACAGTGGAGGGCCAGGAGGAAATGGGGCCTCCTGCACCTGGACCCACCCTTCACACCCCAGGCCTCCTTTGCCCATTTTCCCAGGGGTTTTTGGTCTCTTGAAATTCTGTCCTGGTATCACCATTTTATTTCCCAGACTATATTTCCTCTTCACCTCTAAGACAGCTGTGGCAGTTTACAGCTGTTTACTAGCAGTCAGATAGACGAGGAACTTAAGTGGAATATAAACTATTGAATTAAATTATCCTCTTCAAATGCCACCCGGCACTTGCTCTACCTGAGAATTTCAATCAATGAAATAACTTCCTGCTCACTAACGGAATGCACCAAACAAGTTTTTTTGCCTGTCATTTGAGCTGGGCTGCTGCTGTGGCAGAGGCTGTTATAGGGGACAGAGATGTTCATGTAGACGGGCATGACAATGCGTCACCTGAAAGCATAGCTTTCTTGAGCTCCCAGTAGTGCCATTAAGCAGGTTGGGAAATTGCTTCATTCCTCGAGCCTGGGTGTTAGACAGAGCCATTCACAGGAGGGTCGATGAGGCTCTGCAGGAGATGGAGGGTAGAGTCTTGTCCTTTAGGACACCTTTTAGGGACTCAAGGAAACAGTGGTGTGGAGAGGAAGGGTACTGAAGAAGGAAGACAGATTATCTCCCAGCACCAAAAGATATAGGTAAAGCTCACAGCCATACAAACAACACCCACTAATTACAAGTTGAAAGGATGGAACATCATACCCTCCATATTTATAAAACAGAATGGCCCTGGGCTGGGAGTTCCTGGGTTCAAGTTCTGGTTCCAACATTTATTAGCCATGCTGTCAGAGGCAAGTCTCTTCTCTGTGGCTCCATGCCCCTTCTCTGTAAAATAGCTTCACTGTCTACGTTATAGGGAATGCAAACACCTTTCGACAACTTCCAAGCACTGTACAATTGTGTTACAATATTTGGGTGGTGGGAGAAGCCCTTTGAGAGAGATCCCTCCAGAGCCCGCAGAGCCCCTTAATTGGCCTCTGGGCCATGTGAAGAGGGGCCCAGGCCATTTGTATCTTGGAAGGAGGGCTCTGTGGGGATGGTCATCCCGGAAGGGACCTCTGGGAGGCAGCAGAGGAGGTGCTATGGAGCAGCCACACCTGGAGACTCAGGGCTGTTCCCAGTCCTGGGGTCCTACGGGGACAGGGAAGAGGAGGGAAATAGTGTGACAGAGTTCCTGACCCTGTTTATGGATAGGGAAGTAACTGTGGGCATTCCACAGGACCTGCTGGGCCCTCGGTTGTGGGTCACCACCACCAAGCTGCATCCTGATGCCGTTTCTTCCCCGGGGCTTGGGCCTCTTCCTTTCTGCCCTGAGACTGGAGAGATGATCCTCCCAGGTCCTCTCTCCTCAGCTACATTTTCCCTCTTCGGGACAGGTTTTTTCTGGACAGGCCAAGCTATGCTTTCAAGCCCCTCTTCTTAAGGGCAATAGAAACGACCTTACTTACAACACAAGGGAAAACAAGGCACAAATAATGACTGAGCACCTACTATGTGTCAGCATTCTATCAGTCTGTTCATGCACACTAATCTCATTTACTCCACATAGTAACTGGTTGCAGCAGGTTAGCCCATTTTACAGATGAGGATACTGAGGCACTGGGAGCTAAATAACTTCTACAGGATCATATGGGTGGTCAAGTGATAAAGCAGGGACTCAAACCTAGAGATCTGCAACTCCAGTGTGCATGTTCTTTCTACCATGCTAACTACATACACATGACAGAATGGTCAAGGAGGCAGAGCACGCTCCACACAGACTAGAAACTGGAAAGACACACGTTAGTTATAGAACCCAGACTTGGAGATCTTCTTACCAGTTGCCACCTCCATTTTGGATCTCTCTGTAACCAGCTTCCTCTGGCCAGTCTGTTCTTCATTGAGAATCCTTCGCTTTTTGTTTTTGTGCTTTTGCCTTTGTTGAGAGCCCTTACAGAGTTCTTCCCAAGATGGCTCTCTGCTTACCTTTCACGTCCCAGTCTAAGCTTGCTCCCTGAGCTCGTGGCAAGCCCATGCTCCTTCAGGTTTTTTTTCACTAGCGAAATTATTTTCTCTTCTTCATTCAAAACACAAAGCCAGAGCAATCTTGAGCTGGTTGCTAGACAAGGACCCTAGGGACAATGGTGGTTTCCACTTAGCAAGCACTTGCTACTGGATTCATATATGCCGAATGTTAGCTTGCAGTATCTCATTTAATTGTCTGAACAGCATTAGGGTAGGTGTTAGCATTTCCGTTTAATGGATTGGGTAGCTGAGGCCCAGCGTCACTGAGTAAGCTGCCCGACATCACACAGACAGCCAGTTCTCAGCGTCAGCTCTGTGTGGTCCAGAACCTGTGGCATTAACCCCACCCACAGGGAATGGTCAGGAAGATACCCTGCTTTCCCATCCTCTCTACTGTGGATCTTGATTCTTACTATAAGTTCTCAATATAATTTAATACACCAAATAGCTGACACTGGGACTCTGCTGGCATAGAAGAGAAATAGGTAATACGTCTGCTAGGATCCTCAGTCCATTTGAAGAGACGAAACACATGAAGCGCATTCCATGACATCCCTTGGGGCCTGGGACATTCTTGTGTGTTCCTCCCCACCTCCCTAATGCTCCCTTTGATCTCCTCCTGAAGCTGCCCTGTTCATACTGGTGTTCTACAGGGCTCCACCTTCAACCTACCTCTCTTCTCACCTCACATCAGGGTTTGCAGCTTTGAATAACCACAAGGAGTGTGCAGAAATTCACCCAGCAGGCTGAGCATTAAACAATAGCTCGCTTCTACAGCAACCAAACAAAACCTTTGCCTCGCTACAGGCCTTGAACCATACCCAGCCCAACAAAGCGCCCAAACAGAACGGAACATTTTTGCAATCCAAGTCATGCTCAGAGCTGCAGGGTTGTCGCTCTTATTTCTATTTCCCCAGGACAATTTCATCTATCTCAAGTACTTATCTATTATCTACTTCCTCCATGATGATAACATCTGCATGTGCTGTCTTCACCCCAGCTCTCTCTCCTGGCTTCAGACTCTGTGCATGTGAGCGTCTGCTGACATCTCCAGCTGCCCCTAGACCCAACCTGGGAAAACTCGAATGCACCACCCCCAGCCTCCTGCTTATGTTTATCTCATGTTTATCTCCCCTTTCCTTTTCTCTCTCTCTCTCTTCCTCCAGCCCCCCAGTACCTTCCCTAATTCAGGCTGTTGCCTCAGTCCCCTGGAATATTGCTGTATCCTCCTGCCTGAGTCCCACCTCTCTCCCAACCATCCTTCTCATCCAGCCTGAGTCACTGACCAAAAATAAAAATGCAGGGCTACCTCCAGCTCCAAATTCATAGCCTGTGGGAAAAAGCACACATTCCTTATCTCGGTATCCAAGCCCTTCCCAGCCCGGCAGCACATACGTCTAGAGCCACCCCTGGTTCTCACTTCACTCTCTGGGCACAATAAATTGTGCATACTTGTCCTACATACATCACAGAGCGCCACACTCTGGAGTCTCTAGGCCCACTGCTGCCTCTGCCTGGAGAGCCTTCCTTTCCCACCCACCCACACTCTGCCTTTGCTGAGCCACTGCTATATATTTTGAAACCTATATTGGTGCCACCTCCTCCAAGAAGTCTTCTCGGACATCCTTCAAGTCTGGACCAGGCACCCCTCCTGTTGAGGGGGGTGGTGCACACTATCTTGTACCATGGCACAGGATTTCAACATTGCTTGTTTACTTGTCTGTGAACTGGAGGGTGACTATGTGTGGCAGGCACTGGAGTTGCCTACCCAACATCTAGAACCTTTTCCTGATTTTATTCAGGAAAGGAATGGCTCAGTCTTGAGGACTGTTTAATTTTTAAAAAATTTATTTTTTATTAATACATAATAGTTGTGCATACATTGGGGATACATGTGATCATTTAACACGTTTGAATAACTTGTAAAGATCAAATCATTATCATCAGGATTTACATTGCCTTAAATTGTTGTCTTTTCTTCATGCTAGAAACATTTGAATTGCTATCTTCTAGCTACTTTGAAATATACACTAGGTGATCGGTAGTTAACCTTTGCTGTGAGCCAAGTACTGTGTTAAGCACCTTTTGTACATTAAACATTTAATCATTACATCAACCTGTGAAGTGTCATTATCACCATTTTACAGATGGGAAACTGAGGAACAAAAAGTTAAGCTCCTGGGCACGGGTTATATAACTGAGGAGTGATGGAGTCAGGATTTGAACTGTGGCCATCAGGCTTCAGAGCCCCTGCTCTTAATGGACACGATAGACTCACTGCTGTTCCCGTGAACAGCACATCACAATTTTCCCAAGGCAGCCAGTATGGCATTCCATTCTGGTTTGCCTGTGATGGGTCTAGAAACGGGCATGTAAACCCAGATATGGTCACTGGGTTACAATAAGAAGGCAGCTGGGCGCTTCTAGGAAGGGTATTCGTGCCCTATTTAAAAAAAAAAAAAAAAAAAGAGCAAAGTGAAGGTCCCTGTTCTGCCTTGCTTGTGTCTTTGAGCATTAGGCTGTAGTTGGGGACTGGGACAGCCACCTTGCCATCTGAGGGAAGACATCACTGACACACCAAGCATGGCTCTTCATGGCACCGCTGAGCTGTGGCACCTACAGCTCGTAAAGACCACAGCCCTGGACTTCTTTGTTACTTTTGATGAGCTAAGGAACGTCCGCATTGTTTTGTCAGAGGGGTTTAAACCAGAGCAACTCCATCTCGAATAGGGGCTGGATAAAATAAGGCTGAGGCCTTCTGGGCAGCATTCCAAGACAGTTTGGCATTCTAAGTCACAGGATGAGATAGGAGGTCGGTGGCACAAGATACAGGTCATAAAGACCTTGCTTATAAAACTTGCAGTAAAGAAATTGGCTAAAATCCCACCAAAACCAAGATGGCAGTGAGAGTGACCTTTGGTCGTCCTCACTGCTGTACTCCTGTCAGTGCCATGACAGTTTATAAATGCGAAGGCAACATCAGGAAGTTACCCTATGTGATCTAAAAAGGGGAGGCATGAATAGCCCACCTCTTGTTAGCACACAATCAATAAATAACCATTAAAATGGGGAATCAACAGTCCTTGGGGCTGCTCTGCCTATGGAGTAGCCATTCTTTATTCTTCAACTTTCTTAACAAACTTGCTTTCACTTTATGGATTTGCCTTGAGCTATTTCTCACAAGATCCAAGAACCCGCTCTTGGGGTCTGGATCGGGACCCCTTTCTGGTAAGAGTTTAGGCCACCACTGGCTGAGTATTGTTACTTGCAGCCAAACCCATATACCCATCCAATGCCCAGAACAGTGCCTGGCACATAGTAGGCCCTTCCTAAAGGGCTGTTTAATGAAGGAAATGAAAAACCATGTGAGCATATGTGGGAAAACAGGATAAACTCAAGGCACTACATGAATATGAAGGAAGATTCATTTTCTTGAGCCTCAGTTTCCTTATTGAGGGGGCTGGGCTCAGTGGGTTCATTTAGGCTCCCACTTTCTCTATTTTGAGTACAAGCGAAGATGAAGTTTCAGGTGTGCAGGACTGACAATAAACGTTATGAGAGAAGAGACCCTGGGACTCCCTCACAACTGCTCACTGTTTATCCTTGGCAAGCCAAGGGAGCCTGTCAAAGGACATCACTTTCTGCAGGAAGCTTCAAAGAAACATATCTAAATAGAACAAAGTCTGATAAGGGACTCGCCCAGGGGCCAGCCTCTAAAACAAAGAACTGCAAAGACCTCTCTTCTCTTGGCCTTTGATTTAACTCAGTAAAATCTGGAAGCATCAGAATGACTTTCTTTGTTCACTGTAGACTCCTGAGGCCACCCAGCGGCCTGCCTGTTTATCCACCACAGGCAGCTGGCAGGAACTCAGCAAGGCACACTCCTAGCTATACTCAGCCACTCAGATAAGGCCACTAGGGTCACTCATGAGTCCAGGGGCTTTGGAGTGGGATCTAATGTACCTGATGCTGCAGGCCAGCCCTTGGCCAAGTGACAAGGACCTCTGAGTCCTACTCTGAGGCTCCCCTGGCTGCCCTTTGTTGTCCCTAGTCACCCTTTGTGGGACCTTTGGGAAATTATACGTTAGTTCAATGGTCACTTCAATTTCCCAACTAAAAGTCTGTGTTCTGCACTCAGAAACATCTTAGTCAATTGATGTCAGTATGAACTGAAGCCTTTCTCAGGCCTATTTGCTAACTAAATCTCATCTCCCCAAGATGCCTTTGATGTGTTCATCTTGCAAGCTTTGTACCAGTTTTTAACCCTTGTTTTGCACTGCGTATCTCTTATATTACTTAAATTTTACCTGTTTCCTAGTTCCCAACTAGACTGTAAATCCCTAAAAGACAGAGCCCACAGCTTCCATCCATACTTAGGATTCAATTATTCATTCATTCATTTATTCAACAAACATCTATTAAGTACTGAGCTTTGTGGTAGGTCTGAGCTTTCAAAAATGAGTAAGACATAGCCCCTACTTTCATGATCTTAAAGTCTGTTTGGGGGAGACAGACTGTAGAAGCGGATAGTTAGGTCCCCTCCTCATCTTCATCCTGGGGTTCATGTTCCAAGTGTCACAACCCCGCTCAACCAGCCTTTATTTGAGCTGCAACTCTTTGTAACTCTGTTTCTTGTAATCGAGAGAAACCAATGACGGCATCCTCTAGGGTAAGAAATGCTTAAACTGACTCTTAAAGGATCAGTATAAGGGAAATGAGGGCATAGGGAGGATATTCCTGGCAGAGGGCACAGCACGAGCAAGAGCATGGAGGCCAAGAACAGCTTGTTATGGGCAATGCCAAACACATGTGCATTCATTTCTATTTTTGATCCTTCATTGTGGAATGAAAGGCTTTGTCCACAGTAAAGCAATCCCAAACACCAAAAGGCTGATAAAGGAGGTATTTTGGGACTCGCATAGCGAGTAAAGTCCCTTCCCTGAGCCTACAAAATTACACTGGGTAAGCAGCTGTCTCCAAACGCCATTGCTTAAAACCAGTCCTGCTGATTCACAGCCGCTTCTTTGGTGGCCAAAGATGCACAAGAGAGAGAAGGAGCGGCCCAATTGCAACAGCCAAAGTCCTGGGAATGAGAGAAATGTCTCCAAAGAGGGAATGGCGAGGTCGAAAGGGACTCTAAGAGAGTACTTCATCCAGCTGAGTGCTGAGGGCCTCACACCAAGATGGGAGAAACAGAACCAGAATCCAGCCTTCCATCTCTGGAAAATCCCACAGAAGCTACTTCCTTCTCTGCAGAGAAATACCATTTCCCCTGCAATTTAGAACTTACACATAAGAGGAATATAGACTCCCAAAGCTTAGGAGTATGGGGAATATTAATGTGATACAAGGCTGGGTTCAATCTACCCTTTAGCTTCCCAGAAAAGGCTGGCTCAAGCATACAGAGGCAATGACACATGCTCTAAAAAAATCCAGAGCATCTAAACAAGGCAATGTTATCCCCCTTCCTCTGCCATGGCTCCGCTGGGCTCCAGCTAGCTCTTCATCTCTCAAGCTCCATTTCTAGGAGCCCACACCTTGATAAATGACTGGTAACAGTCACTTGATCCCACAGAAATTAAGTGACCTACTGTGTGCAAGGCCTTGTCATTGGAGAAGTGTGAAAAGCTCAGATTTTCTTACTTGGGACCCATCCCAATCCCCCAGTGCCAAGGGATCAGATGTGGTTAGCAAAGACACCCTTGACCCACAAGGACATTCATTCCAAGCTCTGGTTTCCATCCAGCCCAGGGGATTGTCTTTCCATGACTTAAAGTGGCACCCTGCTTGCCTCTCATCTATCAGGAGCCACAGACCTGCTTTGCTTTCTAAAAAACTGGTGCCCCTGTGCTTACCTTCAGCTTTAAAGATGGCTACTTAAGGGCAAAACATGTTCCCTCAAATGCAAGTTCAATGAGGTCAGTGGCTTTATCCTGTTCATTGTTGAACCCCTGGCATCTAGGACAGTGCCTGGCACATTGTCATTGTTCAATAAATGTCGAATGAAGGAAGCATTTGTTGACTGCCTTTCCCACTAGACTGTAGCCTTGTTGTTTACCATTGTATCCTCTCTGTTTAGAACAGCATACAGCACGTTGTAGGAACTCAACAGGTATCTGTTAAATGAATAAGTATGTAGTTGACTGATTTTTTGGACATATAATTTTTCTTACAATGCCTTCAGTATTCATTCGACGAATTATTGAGTTTCTTCCACATGCCAAGCCCTGGGCCAGGCTTGGAGATCCAAAGATGCCCTAGATAGAGTCCCTGCCTCTAGCTAGTCACAGTCTAGTGGAACAGATAAATAGGAAAACAAAGTAGAGGCCAGGAGCAGAGGCTCCCACCTGTAATCGCAGCAATTTGGGAAGTCAAGGCAGGAGGATCACTTGAGCCCAGGAGTTAAGGACCAACATGAGAAACATAGCCAGACCTTGTCTTTACAATAAAATAAAATAAATTAGCCAGGTGTGGTGGCACATCCCTGTAGCCACAGCTACTCAAGAGGCTGTGGCCTGAAGATTACTTGAACCCAGGAGATTGAGGCTTCAGTGAACCATGTTCACACCACCGCAGTCCAGCCTGAGTGACAGAGCGAGACCCTGTCTCAAAAAAAACAGAAAATAACAAAGTAGAAGCCCTCTAATTTGGCAGGACTTAAACTTCCAGTTTGTCAGAAAGTTGAAAATATCAAAGTGGAGAATCATAAAAATTCCTACCATGCTGGGCAACTTCCACTTGCCCCTGATCCACTCACCTCCACTCTGGGGATTTCACCTCTGTGGACTGTATCAATGGACACCTGTGCCTTCTGCCTTCCCATTTGGCTTGTCCAATAGGAGACACTGGTATAACCTTGCAGGAAGAAAGAAGGGAGAGGCCAGGGCATCTAATTTCCTGTTTCCCCCTGCAGCTCCTTGGCACACTGGCTGCCTCCCTCAACCCGAGGCTTAGCTGCTATCAGGAGCCCTCTGTGTTCCCCCAACTTGAGGCCCTATCCTGCGGTTTTCCTATTTCTACCCACAGTTTTATAAACAATCCTTTTATTTTATTAAACTATCTTTGAAGTATCTAATTTGAGCATGTAATTTTTTCCCTGCTGTGATTCTACTAACATACACCCCTTAAACATTTTTTTAACTTTAAATATACCTACACACATACACACACACGCACGCACACACACACGTACTAATTCACCTATTCCTTAAAAGGCCAAAATCTTTTCTTTGGCTGTGGGTCTGCTAGCTGAATTTCCACGTCCTCTTTCATTCATAAACAACATCCATAACATGTAGACTATGAACTGCATATTTCTTTTTCTTTAAATTGCAGAATTTAAGGACACTTGTTAATGCTAATGCAATTCAAGTGCAGAATACCTTGAGATTTTTACAGCTTGTTTTCTAATCTTTTACAGTTGTTTCACCCACACCTAATTTTCCAGCAGTTTGTTTTCATGACTCACATTTAGGGAGGATTTTTTCCCTCTTAAAAATATCAACATTGATTTATTCGTTCATTTTTTTGAACAGCATCCATTCATCAACTCCTACTCTGTCTCAGGCTGTGGGTTGGAACATGAGGCACAAAGATGGGGCCACCATGGTCTCTGTCTTTGAGTTCAGTCTTGAGGAGATACACATGTGACCACATAATAGCATCTCATGAAAATGACCTTGCTCAAACCCCTGCACGCGTCAGCTTTTCCATGTGTCTTCCTGAAGCATTCAACTTTTAGGTTGTATAAAAACAACTCTCACTCTTTTTCCCGTTGTGTTTCATTGGTCCGCGCGATACTGAGTTAGTTCAAGCAACTACTGTAACAGGTGGAATTAGGCTAGGCAGGTTTGGGAGCAAATATCACCAGCTCCTGGTATGTGTCTAACTCCATAGGTAAGAGCAGAAGTGATAGCTAGAAGCCGGTCAGCTGTAAGGGTTCACTGGACCTCCGGCGTTGATTAGCATGCATCACAGGGTGAGCAGAGAGCTTGCCTTAAGCTAGAAGTTTGAGCTTTAAGCAGGTGCTATGTGGGTGTCCCCCCAAATTCATATGTTGAAATCCTAACCCCTTTAAGTGATGGTACTAGGATGTGGGGAGTGATTAGGTTATGGGGCCAGAGCCCTCATGAATGGGATTCATGATCTCATAAAAGAAGCTCAAGAGAAACCCCCTCACCCCTTCCCCCTGTGGGAACACAGCAGGAAGCCACCGCCTAGGAGCCAGAAAGCAAGTCCTCACCAGACACTGAATCTGCTGGCACCTTGATCGTGGACTTCCCAGCCTCCAGATTGTGAGAAATAAATCTCTGTTGCTTGTAAGCCACACAATCTATGGTATTTTGTTACAGCAGCCCAAATGGAATAATAGCAGCAGAGGTTACTTAAGAGAAATATCACCACACTTAATGTTCAGAGTGAGAGAGGCAGGCTGGGATGTATCACATACAAGTGCTGAAATGTATGGATGCCATTGTTTCAGACTGAGCTCCTACGCTACATCCCAAGAGACCAGACCAAATCACAGTGGAGTCACTCATGCTAGGCACCATATAATCAAACATACTTTTAAAATGGGATGGTTTTAAAAAAGAAGAAGAAGAAAGAAAGAAAGAAAGAGAGAGAGAGAAAGAAAGAAAGAAAGAAAGAAAGAAAGAAAGAAAGAAAGAAAGAAAGAAGGAAGGAAGGAAGGAAGGAAGGAAGGAAGGAAGGAAGGAAGAAAGAAAGAAAGAAAGAAAGAAAGAAAGAAAGAAAGAAAGAAAGAAAGAAAGAAAGAAAGAAGAAAGAAAGGAAGGAAGGAAGGAAAGAAAACAGGAGATTTACAGCAACCAGCCAGTCTACTTGAGCAGGCATGGTAAGAAAGTCATCTCTGTGAACCCTGCAACTTTGAAATGACCAGTCTGCTTTCTATTTCCTAGTTTTGGTTTCTTCAGCATTTTCTGCCTGTAAAGCCAACTCCCTCTACTCAGGTCATCAGAGCACCTGTCTATTTTCTAGAAGGGATGCTGCTTGATTAATGAACTGCTAATAAAAGCCAAACATACCTTTAAACTCAATTTGTTGAAACTGTATCTTTTGGCAAATAATAAGTTTCAAGACTTAGAGAGGAAAGCTCCTTAAAGAAGGTGACACATGAGCTGGTCTTAAAATACCAGCAGGAGTTTAGCAGAGGATGAAGAGATTCCAAGCTTAGGGACAAGCATATATAAAGGTAGTGAGAAAAGACATATAGATAATATGTACACCTCTGACCTATGTGCATGTGGGCACACGAGCCCTAGGACACACATCCAAAGACAAAATGTTCATAGTAGCCCAGTTTGAATAGAAAAAAAACAACTAGAAGCTACAGTGTGAGAATATCTTTTTAAGTGAGGTACAATTACATACTGGAATACTATACAGTAGTGTAAAATGAACAAATTATAGCTACATACAATATCATGAATGAATCTTTAAGAACATGACATTGATTTAAAAAGCAGAATTTATACAGCATGACTGCACTTCTAAAAGGTTCAAAATATGCAAAACTGAATGGATTTTGTTGTTGTGAGTTTAATAAACATGGTAAACAGCAAGGGGACCAGTGTGGCTGGGGCAGAGAGAAAGACAGTGAGAGAGGGAGGACATGGCATCAGAAACGTGATGAGACAGGCACAATGGGGTGAGGGCCCGCTGGCCATCATAGGCCTGGGGGCTTCCTCTGAGTGGCATGGAGCCGCTGCAGGCTTTTAAGCAGAGGAGTGAGCTGATCCAACTGTTTTCAAAGTCTGCATGTATGTCTAAATTGTGTCAACCTATGAAACAAATATATTGCCTACATGGTAAAACAGATGTAACAAATTAGACATATCACATGCTAAGATACCAAGCCATAAAATCATTCTTAGAGTGAAGTTCTTTGTTTCTTTTTTTTTTTTGAGACAGAATCTCGCTCTGTTGCCAGGAACCAGGCTTGAGTGCAGTGGCACCATCTCAGCTCACTACAACCTCCGCCTCCTGGGTTCAAGCAATTCTCCTGCCTCAGCTTCCCAAGTAGCTGGGACTACAGGCGCATGCCACAACACCCAGCTAATTTTTGTATTTTTAGTTGAGACAGGGTTTCATCATGTTGGCCAGGATGGTCTCGATCTCTTGACCTCGTGATCCGCCCGCCTCGGCCTCCCAAAGTGCCGGGATTACAGGCGTGAGCCACCGTGCCCGGCAAGTTCTTTGTTAATGATGGTGGATGTGCATTCACATTTCATACAGTTTTACTGATAATTCTGAACGCAGAGGCTGGCCCTACCACTGCTGTTGTCGTCTCATCAGACAGCTGACCAAGAGTTTGTCATGGGAGTAAGAACTATCCTCTACATGAGAATAGTTCAGCTATTTCTCACCATCCACTTGGGCTTGCCTTAACAGACATTATTTTCAACTTGTGACTTGGTTGCAGGGATATCTTCAAGCAGTTTGCTCTTTTGTGGGGATTTAGTGACACTTAATAAGGTAAACTGCAGATCCTCATCAGGGAGCCCACATAAAATCAATGCGCATGACTGGAAGCAAAGCCACAAGCACCCTTGCTCCCCCCGGCACTCCACCCCTGTCTGAATCTCTGAGGATTCTATGGGATAGAAGTTGAAGTCCGTGGACTGGATGGTTCCTATGGTACCTACAGGCCTGTGAACATCAGATCTGGAGGAGAAAGGTATGTGCAGACAGTGCCTTGGTCAGCGGGATAGGTACAGAATCCTCCGAAAGGGATGGTTTAGAGCTGCTATTCAATATAGAGGACACTAGTCACATGTGCAATTATTGAGCTCTAGATGTGGCTAGTGCAAATTGAGATGAGCTATAAATGCAAAATATACTTGTATTTCAAAGACCTTGTAAAAAACAGCAAACTATCTCATTAATTTTTTTAAAAGTGCATTTTTAGAGTGCATGCTGATATTTTTATAATATTGGGTTAAGTTTAATCGATTATTAACATTAATTTTACCTGTCTTTGCCTTTTCCCTTTTTTTCCCTATTATTTGTTTAATGGGGCTACTAGACCATTTTTTGTTGCACACGTGGTTCATGTCTGTGGCTCACATTATATTTCCGTTGAATAGCACTGGTCTAGATGAAAAACTAGTTCCCTAAGTTATGAAAAAGTCCAAATGTATAGCACTATCAGCACCTTTTGTTCCAACTGGTCTTGCTCATCATGTTTCCAACAATGGCCCCATTAGGTAAAGAAGCCTGTGGTAATTGCCTTTAAGACACATTGTGAAGGTGGTGTGCCCTGTGACTCAGGTAGACAATGACTAATGAACTAGGGCTCTGCCATGTATTTGCCAAGTGACCTCAGAAACATCACTGGCACATTGCTTTCCTTCCTTGTCTGTAAAAATATGAAGGAAATTAATCATATAATACCTCAACTTTCTAGCTCTGGGTACCTCCTTCCAGAAGTATTTGCACTTTTAAAAGGGAGTCTCTAGAAGGCAATGCTCAACCCAAATTAAGAAATGCCAAATGGCAAAACTTCAGGCCCCAGTGGAGGAGGGGTTTTAGAGAAGAGGAGGTCCTCCTGGGTCCCCGCAAATCACAGCTCAGGTTCTATGTGAACCTGATAAACATATGGGAACTCACAGGACAGACTGACCCTGCGAGAAGTGGTAGGCTGGGATGCAGATTCCAGATGGGTCTTCATTTGTACCACCAAGCACATGCTGTCAATTTCAGCTGCATGGCCAGGCTATTATTTCATGAGCACATCCTCCTCTGGCACATTCACACACACTTCCATAAGTGTAAACAG